CGTCTTAAATGTTTCACCCTTTTGGGGTTATAAACACCTAGTGAGCCTTTTTTTAAACCAGGGTTATTTTAATTTCTAGGATATTCGACACAAGATATTATTACTAATTCCAGGGTTAAGTATTTTTAGTCAGCTTTAAACATGCAGTCAATTGCTATACTAAACTTACAGCAAAGAACAGTACTTGCTAGCAGTTCACAAACACACAACCCCAGACTGCCGTGCATCTTTCAAGAAGCAAGACTCCATTCTACTGGCAAGCTTCCTAGAACTCCATTTAAACAGAAATCAAGGTCAGTTAGTCACCCTTGGGGAATTAGTGATATAGCAAAAGCTTCAACAGGACAATGAAAATTTTACGTACAATCTCAAAGTTAGTCCAGAGTGTGCCCCTGGAAGCCAAAAAGCCAAGTAACACAAGGGCACTGTTGGAGTGGGACATTAAACGTTAGTCTGTAGCCAATTTGGGTGGAGTATTCAAGGTAAGTTTCCTTCACCAATTCAGTATAGATATGTGTGGGGTCTGGTTTGGTTTTTTGTTTGTTTGTTTGATACTACCCTCCTCTCTCTTAAATTTTTATTCATTATATTAATAGCAAACTTAACTCAAGGGAAAGGTTAAACAATTCTTGAAGCCAAGTAGATACTATTTAAGGAACTCTTTTAGACACCTGGTTTTAGTTTAATCTATGTATGCACTCGGAAGAGAAAAAAAGTCAACTTCTATGCCGGCAAATTCAAAACTGGTCTGATTTTTCACTTTCCTGAAGTGAAGGTTGTCTTTTCAGACTGGGAAATTTCCAGAGTTCCCTTAAGTCTCAGGTGTTTTAAGAGTAAGAGCTTTAGTTTATGGTTTAAACTATGATACACAAGAAACTTATTTTAAGGTTCAGGATGTATAAGTTGCTTCCTATTCACACAGCAAGTAAGGATAACTGTATACAATATAATGTCCAGTTCCCAACTGAATTCAGGAGTAGTCTGAATCAAATCAATGATTCATTAAATCTGTACTCATGTTGCTATGGAGATTCCAGGCATACAATTGCAGGTCTACAGATCCCAAATGAAAGACTCCTAGATCAGTTACAAGAGGTGTCTTCCTGTACTCACTAGAGATAGCGGATAGCATGGCAACTATGGATTCTATCCACAAGTGAAATCCACAGCCAAGACTTAGGGTATTCATGTAATCTATTTTACTATACAATTTAATCAGCGTTTCAAACAAATACTTGATTTCCATGTGACGTTAGCAGAAAGATGCTGGAACCGTCCTTCCTTATACCACAAAACTGAAGAAAAAAAATTGAAAAAAGACAACCTGAAATTTGTTAATTTTTTTCCTTGGCACTGGCAGGTAAAGTCAATATAAACGGTCATGCTGAGAACATAAAATACCAGTATGGCAAGGAATACTTAACCCTGGCTCAAGAAAAGTAGTCTTAAGGAAATTTTTTACCCAGGTGAGTTTTTGGGTGTTCATGTTTCAAATCACCAGTCTTCAAGCACCAAATTCTGAAGTGATGCAGGAAAGCAGGGTGGATAAAAATCAATGATTTTTTAAATTTTTTTTTTTAAATCTGATTTTTTAATTTAAATAGGATTTTTTGGGGGGCGGGATAAAATGCTTTTTGAGGAAAAAAAAACTTATCCAAAGATCATTTTAATTAAGATACATTATAGCTCAAAGATATCTCATCATGGAATAGGGATTATAAATTCTAATTCTATAGTATGAGACACTATATCCATGTAATGTTTTCTAAAAAAAGTTTTGTAAATGAGTTCCAATAGTTCATGGATTAGGGACCCAATCTTACGGGGTTCCACAGGCTTCTGTATAGTTTATTTAGGTTAATCTTTCTATCTACCCAATGAGACTCGGTATCTTCTAGACTGAGCACTATCAGAGATGCTTAGTTTTGCAGTTCTCAAACTGTGGATTTGTGTCTCCAGAGGTAACATGCTTGTTAACAGCAAAAATGTTTTTAAATACATGAACAATATGTAGAGGTGAAAAATAACAGACCACAAACCTATTTGTCCCTCTGCAAATCTGTGTACACAGAGTCAATCCCTTACCTCTTTCTAAAAGTGCAAAGTTTCAAAAAGTTCAATGAATAGAAGATCATTGGGGGCAGAATCTATCTGGACAAGGAGAAGAAGTCTGGAGATAAATGTGAGAAGCGAGGGGCATATGCTTGTTTTGTTAAAATATTATGTTTGCTGTTGAAGAAAAAAAATCCAGAATACTTAACATTGTTGTTTTAGTTAAATAAAACAATTTAAATGTCTGTCTGGTGATGTTCTCCTCCTAATACAGCATGGCAACAAAATCCTCCAAATATTAATGATTAACCTGTTGAATTGGAGATAGTTCACCTCCCAATGACTTCATAAATATCTGCTTCAATTACCTTTGGTAAATGAAATAACCAAACAATCATTCATTTTCTGATATAGCTGTAAAACTAATCTGAAAAGTTGTCAAAATAAATCACTGTTTAAAAATGTATAGTGTGTACCTTCTAAAAATGAAACGTACATCTATCTCTGAGTGGTGAAGAACATGTATTAAGGTTGTAACAACCAACAAGAAAGCACTTTTATGTAGAAAACCATGATTAAATCGAGTCTTCCTGACTAGTGATTTAAATCATGGTTTAAATCAAATCCACCCCGCAGGAAAGCCACAGCAATAGGTGCTGCAGAAGAGTTAGTAACTGAAACCATGCTGATTTTATGGCTACCTGATAATTCTTATCTCCACAGATAGTCTCAAACAAACCAGGCCAAAAAAAAAAAAAAAAATCACTTACAGACATTTCTGGCATTAAATGCATTATCTGTGCAGCTCACATTAAAGCTTAAAAAAAAATCCAAATCCAATGAAGTAGGAAAGTAATCCCAGTTTCAAGTAAGGCAAACTGGCACAGAAACATTGATAACTTTCCCAAGGCGACATGACACTTTGGAAGTGCCAGTAATACAACCCGACATCTCAGCTCCCAATCACTTGAGCCACAGTTTGGACATCATGTCTTTGACATAATATTGTCTTAATCTGCAGAGTAAGAGTGTCCACACAGAGAGCTTGTGCAAAAATAGCTATTCCACTTTAAATTCACAACCTAGCTATTCTGCACTAATTTCCCTGTGAATATCCCAAGCAGGTAAATCCTAAGTATCACATACACCACAACTGCCATTTGATTGACTGCTCTTTGGAGACAGTGCTACAGTCTTTTTTTTTTTTTTTTTTTTAATTTAAGTATTTGTTTGAAACATCGGTTTCATACCACTCCTTTTTTCTGTACCTGCTGCCACTTCTCCAAGGAGTATTCATTCCCATGTAGCATGCCTACTCTTTCCAACTATTCTACAGCAACACAACACAGATTGCAGAATGAAGCCCAAGTGCATCCCTGAGCAATTGTTCAGCAAATGCCTTTATTCTAAGTTACTTCGGGTAACAAAGGTGCAGCTCAGCCTGTTACAAAAATTGCTATCAAGGCAAAAAACAAAACAAAACAAAAAACACCCAACTGGGAGACAGACTAGTCGGAAAGGGATTCAGTTAAAAGAACTATGATATGGGATCTTTTTACAAGCTACTGGTACCATACCAATTTCTCAACACAATGGACAAAAGAGAAAAATTCAGCCTGTTTTTCAATCAGTATACTGCAGAGTAGATAGGCTATTAGAGCAACAGGACTATTTCATCCGCCGTGCTTTAAAACTGAGGTCCACCAATTCAACCATCTCCATGAAAGAAAGTGGACTGGAGATGGGTAAGGGAAACAATTTAAAGATACCCACAAAGAGGAAATAGTGGGGAGTAACTGACAGAGCATGGGGAAGCAATAGCTGTCAATGGAACTGATGAACAGTTAGTAGTGGAATGAGCAGAGCTAAGATAGTCCAGGACACTATTATCCAAGTGTAATATCTAGTGTAACCAAAACCAACAGTTTATCTGCCCCAATCATGGCTTGTGGTGACTATAAAGCCATGACTGACTCAGTTTATAAAACCCATAGACTTTGGAGTTAGCCACCCACAGTCCGCAACTAGGCATGTTTACACAATCTGCGTAGCAATCGTTTTCAGACGCAGAATAGATTCTACTTAAAATCATAACATTAGAATGTTGTAATGTTCTGATGTACTAATGAATGCTGCAGTTGGTTTACACACGGAGTTTCCAGGAATCAAGTTAGGGACAAACATACTATGCTAACCTAGAAAAGACACAATCATTCAAGCAATTTGGAACACTGCAGAGTCAATTAGCTGTCAGAAATTTAAAGCACTTAAGAATTTCAAACCATCTGGCATTTACAGATCACATTTTGTTTTGTATTTGTTGACAGCAAAGCCACCTGACTACACGTATGTAGCTCCGAAGCCTGGACATTTTCTGTATTAAAAGCACCAATACCATAACATATACATTTATTAAGGAACACTTCCAGTCAGTGATGGAGATACCCAGTAACGAACTCTGGATTATCAGACTCAGTTGTATCATACTAGTAATTCTAAAATTAACTTATCTATTATCATGCTATATTCCCCTTCTACTACAAATTTTAATGGGTTAGGAAGTCAAGTTCTTTTTCAAGTCAAGATCATTTAGCAAAAGGAGATTACAGTATGAGAAATATCCAGATTTTAAATGTTAAGTGGTAGAGTTTTCTGTTAACTTATTTCTTTAAGACATGAAGATATAATAAAATGCAATTTGAAGAGTTAATATAATTTATGCTATCAGCATTCTTAAAGCTCAAGTACACCACTGTTGTGTAAGCACTAAGTAGTGTAAGTAACTCATTCTGTCACCTATGGCTTGTGTTATATCATTTGCTCTCATACCCACTCACTAGAAGCACATCACCACATCTAACTAGCTCCTTCTTTAGCCTTTAAGACCTACACATTCGCCTTTGAAGATAATTATGCATACACTTCAAGAGATATACTATTGTACTTACGGATTCCTTCAAACTGATCTGGGCATTTAATGGAGTGGAACAGACCAGCAATGCAGTCCAGGGGCAAACAAGATCTGGATGTTATCCCACAGCAGAGCACTGGTGAAATAAAAACACAGTAAGGATTCCATTTAAAGACACACAGTTTAGTAACTGGTTTCAGAGTAGCAACTGTGTTAGTCTGTATCCGCAAAAAGAAAAGGAGTACTTGTGGCACCTTAGAGACTAACAAATTTATTTGAGCATAAGCTTTCGTGAGCTCACTCATTTCATCATATGCATTCAGTGGAAAATACAGTGGGGAGATTTACATACACAGAGAACATGAAACAATGGGTGTTACCATACACACTGTAACAAGAGAGATCAGGTAAGGTGAGCTATTACCAGCAGGAAAGTGGGGGGGGCGGGGAACCTTTTGTAATGATAATCAAGGTGGGCCATTTCCAGCAGCTGACAAGAATATTTGAGGAGGGGAGGGGGGCAGAATAAACATGGGGAAATAGTTTTACTTTCTGTAATGACCCATCCACTCCCAGTCTTTATTCAAGCCTAAGTTAACTGTATCCAGTTTGCAAATTAAGCCCCCAACCTGAAGCAAATACTCACCAGCAACCACACAACACACAACAGAACCACTAACCCAGGAACCTATCCTTGCAACAAAGCCCGTTGCCAACCGTGTCCACATATCTATTCAGGGGACACCATCGTAGAGCCTAATCACATCAGCCACACTATCAGAGGCTCGTTCACCTGCACATCTACCAATGTGATATATGCCATTATGTGCCAGCAATGCCCCCTGCCATGTACATTGGCCAAACTGGACAGTCTCTACGTAAAAGAATAAATGGACACAAATCAGATGTCAAGAATTATAACATTCAAAAACCAGTCGGAGAACACTTTAATCTCTTTGGTCACTTGATTACAGACCTAAACGTGGCGATTCTTCAACAAAAAAACTTCAAAAACAGACTCCAAGGAGAGACTGCTGAATTGGAATTAATTTGCAAACTGGATACAATGAATTTAGGCTTGAATAAAGACTGGGAGTGGATGTGTCATTACACAAAGTAAAACTATTTCCCCATGTTTATCCCCCCCCCCCCCCCCCACTGTTCCTCACACGTTCTTGTCAACTGCTGGAAATGGCCCACTTGATTATAGCTCACCTTACCTGATCACTCTTGAAATCAAGGATCCTAGTTGCTGACCTATTTTTGTTTATCCTTCCATTTAGTTTAAACTAAATTAGCTCATAATCATTCAATCCAAGGTTGCCCTCTACAACCAGTTGTTCTATGAAGTCCTCGTTACTTATCAACACTCAGCTGAAATAGCATCACCTCTTGTTCGGTGACTATTTGGTGAAGAAATCTGACAGATATCACATCCAAGAATATTTAGGCCCTACCACTTGTCCTCCAAACTATATCTGGGAAATTGAAGTCTCCCATAATCACAAAATTCCCAGAAGTATTTATTTCATTAAAAATATTAACGAGATGTCTATCCATATCCAACTTAGATCCTGGGAGTCTGTATCAGACTTCAAGCACTATTCCAGTGGAACCTCTGTTATCTTTCTTCCCCAAAGTGATTTTGACCCCCCAAACAGATTCTGTTTTATCCATTCCATCACTTCTAATTTCTTTACATTCTACCTCATCAGTAATATACAATGGAGGAGTCTCTGCACCTCGAAGTATTTAAACCACAATTTGAGGACTTCAATAGCTCAGACATAGGTTAGAGGTTTGTTACAGGAGTGGGTGAGATTCTGTGGCCTGCGTTGTGCAGGAGGTCAGACTAGATGATCATAATGGTCCCTTCTGACCTTAAAGTCTTTGATTCTGTGAATGCTATTCCATCACCTTTATCTTTACTTCTGGCTTTCCGATCCAGCCCATACCCTCAATACCTGTATTCCAGTCATAACTACTATTCCATCACATTTCTGTTAGCCCTATAACATTAAACTTCATGGTCTCAAACTGTTAAAGTCCAGCTCTAGCACGTTTTACTTCTGGAACCTGAAATGTGTTGTGTGATATATCTAGGAGTCATCGCAACTTTAAGACAACTTAGGATTGCTTGCTGTGAAGAAGGAATTACAGTTACTGAAGGAAGCACAGAGGGGACATCTCATGCTGTTAAATGAGGGCCTTGGTGCGGGGACAAATATGAGCTTAAACTGCAGAGTAGGAAGCGGGAGGAGAGAGGAAACCATAAAGAACCATGCTGATTAACAGGAAGTCTTTACAAAGCACAGCATAGCGAGGATACAGGGTAGTAAAACCACACAAAGAATTGATGTACACAGCAGCCAGTCTTCAAAGCAAGATTCCCAAAAATAAACAAACTAACTTGGAATGCCTGACTGAAGCAACAAAACCAGCCTAGTATTCCAATTTCTGATAATGGTCTGCAGGGGTATATATAGTGTTTCTTCTTCTGCTCACTGCTGATTGATTTTCCTCCCAATAGCTACAATGAACACACTTGTACAATATTCTGTTTTGAGTCTGTTTTACAAAATTTCACCAAAATATATATATATATATGACGTGAAGTCATTTATTTGTTGTGAAACTATAGTAGCCACCATTATTGTTCATTTTTAGCACTGTAGCTCATCTGTGTAGTAAGGCTGCTGTTTGATTAGATGTGCAATCATTCACATCATGAATGCTTGCCCTCTGACACAGTAAAATAACTTGGCCTAGTATTGCAAAGCTAATCCAACATCAGAGCAGTTCACAAAACTAAGACAGTGATTTATGTTTGTTATGTTCATTTGTTTTCCATTGCTTTTAGAACAAGGAACAGCGTTAATAGTTTAACCTTCGGTTTTAAGCCTGTATAAGTTTAGGTATCACATTCAGACCAGGTGGAGGGAATTACAGTGTTGTCAACTTGCAGTTTTATTGTGAGTCTTGAAAGTTTGGCCAGAGTTAGAGTCATCCCATGAGGACACAAGAAGCACTAGCTCTCTTGTAAATTTCAGCACTGCCTGAGGGAACTCTCTCTGATTGCCCTCTCCTGGGAAAGGGCAGCCTTTCATGGTTTCTGTAGGAAGCAGGTAAAGCTCTCTGCCTTAGCAGACACCATTCTCAAGGAGGGAAGGGGTAACCGAAGAGCCCCACAACTCAGGGCGGATCCTGCTCCTTCCCTCCCCTCTAAGTTGCTCCCTTGTACTATCCTTTTATATTTAAGACCATGAAAGAGACTGAAAGCTTGAGCCAGACGGCCAAGTAAAAGTAACCCATCATCAATCCTGAAACATGATTTATCAAGACACTGAACAAATGTTTGCAATTATAAACCAAGGCAATACACAGTGACCTGCCATAAAAGGATCAGCTTGAGCTCAAGTTTCCATCAATTCCTACAATATCAGATGTTCGCTTGCTCGTTATCAAAGAGATGTTCTGTACCCTTTCCACATTCATGATTAAGACAGTCTGGATCCTTGGATGCAACTGGATTCAGCGTAATACAAATATTCAGTTTGTGCTCTATATCTTTCCTTCCTGCCATACCACCTCAATTTCTCATTGCTAGAAGAAGTAGCCTTTCCTTACAAGCAATGCCATTCATTTTATCACTAGCAATCTATGATATGCCAACAGAAGAGACCCAACTTGTGTAACACATATTTTATGAAAACACTAACAATGGCCCATTCTCTTTTCCATTCCAAGACACTAAAATCATTGTTTTTAAATGGTCTCACAAAAGTAACCGTGTCCGGAAATCCAATGAGCAGATTACTCTAGCTAAGTTGCAAATGACAGCACTTTTATTTGCTCAGTAGTCACAAGTTGTAATATCAGTCCAAAAGTAGCTGCAGAGCAACAGCCAGACGTTGGTTGCCCTATGGATTTGGGCTAAACAGTTGTCACATCTGCTGTTGTGCTGCCAAGAGTTGTCCCCACTAAGATCAAGGTACAAGCCATCTGCCACTTAGTTCGTGAACTTGGGCAAGTGACTGAAATTCTGTGCCATGTGTAAAAAGGTAACATTAACATGCCTCATAAACCCATTAGGCCCACACATGCGCTGTCCCTCCTCATGATGCACCACTATGCCAATCAGTGTGCACTGATTGTGTGCCAATCAGTGTGCCAACCCCACTCAGTTCCTTCTCTACCATAGAGTCATTGACAAGAACTCCAAAGTAGAGGGGAGGAGGATGGGTTGTGGAGCCATAGGGGGACACATCTCTAAGAACCATTGTTACTGCACAAGGTAACTAACTTCTTTGAGTAGTGTCCCTATAGGTGCGCCAATGTAGGTGACTCCCGAGCAGTACCCCTATTGGAGGGCTAGGGCTTTGGAGTCGGATCAGTTACAGATGACAGCACTGGGCAGGCAAAGGTGGCATCGGAGGCGGAGTCCCCAGTGATCACATTATGTTCTGCAAAGGTGTGGACTGACACCCATGTCATCACTCTACAGATCTGAGATAGTAGCCTTCTTGAAGGCGGCAACGGATGAGGAGATCAACCTTGTGGAGTATGTACTAATAGTATCTGGAGAAGTCATACAGTGAACTTGGTAACAATGTCTGATACAATTCAAGACACCCTTAGAAAAATCTTCGGGCTGACATTGCTGAGCCCTTGGATCTTTCTGCAATGGAAAAGCCTGGGGCCTTCCTGAAGGCGTTCATCCTGCCCAGATAGAAGGCTCCAGCTCTCCTTACATCTAGAAAGTGTAATAGAACCTCCCTGTGGCTTGGGATAGAAGAAACAATGAATCAATTAGTTCATATGAAATGTGGTGATTATCTTCGGAATCAATTTTGGATGTGGTCTGAACATAACCTTGTCCCAAAAGAATATCCAGGGGGCGGGGGGAGAAATGTGCCCACAGAACCGCTATTTCTCCTATTGCCCCCAACAAGAAAGGGAGGGAACAAAAAACAAATAAAATCTTTTTTTTTTTTCTTTTTTTTGGGGGGGAGAAGATAAGAGACACTACAATAACTACTACTAAAAACTAAGCTCTACGTTACAAAAGTAAGGTAATAGTCATTAACAGACTACTAATAGCTCCGTCTCTAGCCAGGGGCGGTTGAGAAGGAACAG